CTGCTGTTCTGGTTGGGATGAAGAAAGCAGCCCCCCTGTACAAGCAAGAGAAATTCAAAAGTCTTTCTGTTAGCTGCTTTGGTGCCTCAAAAAGTATTTTTGGATACTGCTATTAAAAAACAAATGAAAAGCGTGTAATGCCTACAGGCAGTGGTCTTCTGTTTTAAAGTGTGTTCATGACAACCCTGCCTCTGCTCGCAGGCTCTCATATGGATCGTGTTTGAAACAGCAAACCGTTGGCCAAATCTGAAACTATTTTCACACCATCTTTTTTTGGTTAGCAATAGCTTTGGGAAGCACAAGCAAGCTCAAACTGATGTTTGCTTTTTCTTATTTTATCCGTGCTGTTCACCATCAGCTGCATCAAGGTCTAAAAATACATAGTCCTTCACAAAATGTGTCCTGTTTGTGAAGGCAGATAATTTCCAGATGATTTGCTCAATAGAGAAAACCTGCTAGCTAAGAGCGTGGATGTGATGCTCTGCTGGAGGATACGCAGGGCCCTTCCTCGCAGGTAGGGCGCTTGCGTGAGGCCGCGAGGGCCGCCTGGTTTTTCTGGCAGGGGGCGAGGCCGTGTCCAGTAGCTCCTGCCCCTGTGAACTGGTAGCTGCGGCCTCTGCTCTCGTGCTACGCTAAGCCTCTCTGTGAAGAGGGAGCATCTTCACTGCGTATGGCAACAGGGTCCAGAAGATTAATGATAACACTTTATAAAAATTCACACGGACCTGGGATCGGCATTAGAAAAATACAGATTTGAATTAAAAGGGAAAAACCCGAATCGCTCATGAAAGCATAGAAATCTGTGGGCTATCGATAACGGTTACCAGCATAAAGTCTCTTCTCATGGCAGGCTTCTCCGAGGAGCTCCGTGGCTGGCGGGGGGCACTGGGAGGGCAGAGGCAGAGCCGTGCCCGACGCGGTGAGCAGCCCCACGGGGCTGTGTCGGGTCCCTCCTCCGTGCCAGAGGCCGGTGCCGAGCAGCTCCGGGGTCCATCGGCTCTGTGTGCAGCCCCCCCTCCAGCCCTAGGGCCTGACGAGAGCGGGGCTCGCTGGGTGTCGCATCCCGCCCTCCCACGCTGCGTGTTCCTGGGAAGGTCACCCACCTCCTCTTGTAGCCCATGTCCAGGCTTGCCGTGTGCTGGGCTTTGCTTTTAATAAGCTCTGAGCCGCTGAAAATAGTTGCAACTTCACTTCCATGAGCTCTGTTTTTTCCTATTTATAGGAAGGTTTAATGGCAGATGTAAAAATGCTGCTCTGCTGCGGGAATGGTGGGCAGAGCGTTGTTGGGAGGGCGGGTGGCGTGCACTGCTGCAGCTAGAGAGGTGACGAGCGAAGTTTGGCTTCCCTTTTCTCGGGCTGGTGTAGGCGAGCTCGGCGTGTGCATCAGCCCCTGCCTCGGGGAGCACGGGAGCGTGCAGCAGGCTCTGGGTAGGTTTGGAGCAGGTCTTAGTCATCGAGAGAGTTTCAAAGATGTTATTTATGCACGTACTCACAATTTTTTGGCACGGATAAATCCAAAACACTGGCTGTTAGCACTTTCTGCCTTGAAGGAAACGCGGTTGAGTCCCACAGGGTGCTCGGGCACACTCCTGATGCCTGGTTGTTGAGACTTGGGTTTGCAGAGGGGGGGTCGTACTCACCAGCCACCACGCAGGCTGTCCCTGGTGCCGGCTCGCGAGGCGCTGCCGCGTGCGGGTGGAGGGCGGATGGCTGCCTCTGCAGCGCTTCGGTTGTTGGCAGAGTCTGGCGTGCAGCGGGGCGGAGGGGCTTGCGCCAGGGTGCAGACTGTCTCGCTCACGGCTGGACTGAGGAGCAGGCAAAGCAGCTGAGCCACCCCTGGCTGTAACGGCTGAACCTCTGTCTCCTTCGGGTATTTGGGGCCCGCTCCAGCTTTTACAAGCAATGTTCAAGTTGACGTTTGCTGCTTAACCTGACCGGACTCGTCAGGCGAGAGCGGGCTGGTGGCAGCAGTATCGTGGGCTCTGTAGTAACGCCATCTCCATTTCCCATCTCTCTTCCTTAGGCACATCTCGCTGACACTGCCTGCCAGCTTTCGAGGGAAAAATCACAGCACTCGCCTGGACTTGGAGCACCAGCACTCGAATTTGTATGCCATATCAGGTAAGCTGACGCACGCGATGGTTTCTCTGCTCTTCTGTGTAATCAGAAGTGTAGCCAAGCAAAGCAGCCCTGCTCGCGCCAACAGCCAGGCGTGTGGTACCCGTGAAGCTTTTCCTCAGCACCACGGAAGTGTCAAGAGCAGAAGGGGTGCAGAGACCCCAGAAAATGCATAGGCATGCATGTTATGGGCAGCAAACGTTACTGACCACTGGGGGGATCACAGCCCTCGGGGAGGGATGCTGCTGCCTGCAGAGGTGCTAGGGCAGAGCTCTGATGGAAGGCAACACTGACACAAACTTTGCTCCTCATCTGTCTCATGATCTCCACGGGTGAGCCTTGAGACGACATCTCTGCCTGTTCCGCAGGAAGCCTTGTCCTGCCTAACAAGGATGAGTTTCGTACACGCTGTTCTTTGCTATGCTCAACATACGCATTAAAACCAGATGAGATCTTTAGTCTGTCCCATTGCTGTATTCTGAATACTGGCGTTGCATAGATTTGTTTCCCCAGTATTAGGGCAAATTTGAAGCGAGATGTTAGGATATGGAGGGGTTCTGCATTATTTTTAAGCGGCATGCACTTGCACATGCACCCTTGGTCTCTGGAGCTGCAGCTTTCTCCCTGTTCACCATTCCAGGCTAGTATACAAGTGCTAGAGCTAGCGATAGTTTCCAGATGTCACTGTGGAAAAAACCTACCTTTGAATAATTTAGCTGGTTTTTATTTTTAACTAGTACCAGTCTGCAGGGAAAATGTGTATTTAAATAGGCTGGTGAGGCTCAAGCCCGTTCCTTCACCCATGCAGGCACAGTTACTCGGTACTGTGCTTCAGGACCACGCGGTGGGTTTGGTTTGGAGCTGGGGTCCCGGCGAACTGTCCCTGGCAGCTCTGCTCCGCTGGAGGAGGCCCTGCCTCTAAGTGCGTGCTTTTTGAAGGAGGAGTGAGCTAAAAAGGAACGCAGCCTGGTTCTCAGGGCCCAGGAAGAAATGCCTCTGGGAGCGAGAGGCAGGGGTGCTTTACAGAATTGTGCCTCGTGGAGTCCGTCACTCCTGGATGTGCCGAGCGCTGTGTGGCCTGGAAGCTATTTGTGAAGCACAGCAAAAGGACTTTGGGTTCTGCGAACTAAAGAGAAAAGCTGGGCGCAGCTGTGGCACAGCAGTGCATCTCCCCTGCCTCTTCTCTTACGGGGCGAGCTCGCGCTCTGCGCTTCAGCGAAGTTGTGCTGGGGTGGAGGAGTGTTTTCCTTAGGACTTGGGGGGGGTTGAGTAATATTACACCTGAACAAATGCTGTGACAGGCATGGTAGCATCACGCTTAGCCACTGTTTCCTCTTTGTTACGGCATTGTCGCAAGAGGAGAAAAATACTGGCTTTAAACCTGACTCTGTTGGAACCTGGTGAAAGGTACAGTCCCTTCAGCTGGCTGAAGGAGCGTGTCAGGACCGTTTGGAAACCCAGAAAAAGCAGCAGTGGATTCGGTGGGCTGTGCAATAGGCAGTGCTTGTGCATAATCAGGGAAGGGAAGATGGCAAAAATGTGCCATTCATAGGTTCTTGCTATTAATAGTGAGTGACACTTCCAACATGGGAACATGGCATTAATTCATGTACCATAATCAAAGGGTTATTTAAAAGGTAATCTCCAACTGAAACTGCAGCTTCAGGTTCCTAAATAGATGGAATATAACAATTGCATAATTCTTGTCAGTACTCGTTTTTCTTGTTACTCTCTTGCCCTAATAGATGTAGAAATGCAAGGGAAGGCAGGTTCTGGTGCTCACGTGAGACAGCCCTGCGTGGAGGAGGGAAAGCTGCGCTTTCGCTCCTGAGAAAGCTTGGAATGTGCAAAGAGGAGGGCAGCAGCTCTGCAGGAGCGTTACTGAGCCGTGACCCTGCTCGAGGACTTCCCGTGGGCTGCCTCTGCTTGCGGTGCAGCCTGGGAGGGTGACCTATTTTGCAAAGAGCCTGAATACTTTACCAGGTAATTACAGGCAAAGCAGAAGACAGGCCTGCAAAACCGGGCATGGCGCTAGCCCTCCACGTTTGCACGAACACGTTTCAGTCAGAGCGTATAACTCTTCCCCCCCCGGCTGCACATTCTCCTCCAGACACGTTGTTATAGGAGTTGTTGTGCATACGTGTGCTGTAATGGCTATTGCAGCTGCGAATCGTGTCTGAAGAAAGGCTCTTGTCATATGAAACGTCCTGTGCATTGGCAGGGATCGTCATGCGTAACTCCTGACCACTGCTGCCTTTTCAGCAGCTGTGATGAGGTGCTGTGACAATTCCCTTTGCGTGCTTAAACATTGCTGAGGTAGATTAGCCCCCAGACGCGCTGTGGAAACCATTCCGAAGTTTCCTGTTACGTCGGTGCAGTTTGCAGCCAGTCTGTTTTATCTGCTCCGCAACACGAGTGCCTCGCTGCAGTGCCATGGCAACGGGAAATTTATTAACGTGCTTCCACTGTCGTCCCTAATTGCTCTGCCGGGATATGGTTTGCCGCGGTGGGGTCCTGGCTGCTGCAGGGCCCG